ATCGTGCCATTGTACTGATGTGAGATCACAGCCAGCTTTCTTCAACCACATTACTGGGATATTCTTCATTACTTTATCGATGAGACGATCAAATGGTGCTGTTCTACATATGTTTCCTCAACCAGTGGTGCCACATAGTCATCTTAATTCAGATTCTGCGCTCGAACCAAAATCCTGAATGGGAAAAGAAATATTTTGAAATATTGCTATTTTGATCGTTTTATAGGTACACATTCATGTCCGTTTGTGTTGACACTATGTAAGATATTGTCATTGTGGGTTGCCGCCTTGGTAAGCGTTGTCCTTGTGTGTTAACACTTTGTCAGATATTGTCCTTGTGGGTTGCCGCCGTGATAAGCGTTGTCCTTGTGTGTTAACACTTTGTCATATATTGTCATTGTGGGTTGCCGCCGTGGTAAGCGTTGTCCTTGTGTGTTAACACTATGTCAGATATTGTCATTGTGGGTTGCCGCCGTGGTAAGCGTTGGCCTTGCGTGTTAACACTATGTCATATATTGTCATTGTGGGTTGCCGCCGTGGTAAGCGTTGCCCTTGTGAATTGACACTATGTCAGATAGTGTCATTGTGGGTTGCCGCCTTGGTAAGCGTTGTCCTTATATGTTAATACCATGTCAGATATTGTCATTGTGGGTTCCGCCGCGGTAAGCGTTGTCCTTGTGTGTGAACACTTTGTCAGATATTGTCATTGTGGGTTGTCGCCGTGGTAAGCGTTGTCCTTGCGTGTGAACAATTTGTCAGATATTGTCACTGTGGGTTGTCGCCGTGGTAAGCATTGTCTTTGTGTGTTAACACTATGTCAGATATTGTCATTGCGGGTTGCCGCCTTGGTAAGCGTTATCCTTGTGTGTAAACACTATGTCAGATATTGTCGTTGCGGGTTGCCGCCTTGGTAAGCGTTGTCCTTTTGTGTGAACAATTTTTCAGATATTGTCATTGTGGATTGCCGCCGTGGTAAGCGTTGTCCTTTTGTGTGAACAATTTTTCAGATATTGTCATTGTGGATTGCCGCCGTGGTAAGCGTTGTCCTTGCGTGTGAACAATTTGTCAGATATTGTCATTGTGGGTTGCTGCCGTGGTAAGCGTTGTCCTTTTTTTGTTTTATTGTATTGTCTTGGGTATTTATGCCATGATAAATTAAATTCTCCGTTGTCACGGATAGCGATAAATTCGAAAGTTAAACTGCAGTTAACATTTTGTCCCTTTTTGTTTCATTCAGATTTTTTATTTTTTTTTGTGTGAAGCTGTGTATGTTTTTCCATTTTCGTTGGACGCTATTGCATATTGTGGCCTTATTTGTGCAACTTTATGGTACCATGTTCTTGTGTGTGTAGACGCTATTAGATATTTTTGATAGCATGATGATGATTTGTTAAAACGACGACCGGATTTGTCCTTTTGGACATGATAACACTTATCACCTTCAATCATGTACTGGACTTATCGTTTTAATGGTTGGTGCTTATTCCTTTATTCGAACAAACAAATAAAATCGGTTTTATAGAAGTATTATGCAATTGTTTTTCCTGACATTTTACTGTTGGTTGTTCAATTCATGGCCTGTCAGCTCTGATGCAGTGAGATTTGTATCACCACTGTTGTCTGATACATACATATACCTCGTCATCCAAAACACAATCCATTAAAACGTTAGACAGACGATCGTAAAGAGGCACTAAAGATTTTAAAACTATAAAATCAGGAGAGAAGATATTGTATAAATGTAACATTGACACGCGAAATAAAAATAAAATACCGAAATGACAACAAACCCGTCATTCGACTCGAAGTCGATGAAACTGTGACAAAATATGAACAATCAGAAATGTTAAAGGGGACAAGGACCATGTTGTCCAGAAGTGTAAGCATATTCTGAATCATTATCAACGTCCGCCATGCCATGTCAATTAAAGTCATACCCGTGCAATGTCGTGTTTTTAATTGGTGTAATTGGTTAGTGACAACGAAACGGAGCACTATTTGGATATATGAAAAACAGCGGTATTTATAACCCCCCAAAAAAGTATTTCCATGACATCGTGATGGCGACAGTCTTTCTTGACAGTAGTTTTCATCCGCCTGTTTATATATCAACACGTTGTAAGTTTGTCTGACAGCAGTCAACATCTATCTCAGATTATATTTTCTTTTTACTTTTTTTTCACAAACTATGCTCCAAATAAAGTCACAACCATGGATTTGTAAAAGCCGCTTGACTTTCCTGGAGAAATATGTTTTAATAAGTGAACAAATGCTTTCTTTTAGTTTGACATGAGGAATGGTAGTGTAAAGAGTTTCATTATCATTATGTCAGAAATTCCGCTTGAATGTACATTGTCACTATACGACTGTACCTTAGTTTTGTGTTGTTAAAAATATTTGTCAGACGTCTGGAAAATAGTTTGGTTGAACAGTTGGCAGAGCTAGTGTTTATTAGGATTCCTGTGAAGTTTTAGAACCCTATAAAACCAAGGAATGTCCCTTTTTGCGATTATTCAGTACTCAGATAAATCGCGACATAGAAGCTTGAATTGGCAGTACACTATTTCGTCTGTTGAAATTCGGATGATATAAATTAGAAACGTAGGGTTACCTTGGTTATCAACAAACCCAGTTGTACTTTTAAGCAGTATCATTAACGATGTTTGCAGACGTAGATTAAGTTGTTAAATACTGCCGATCTAGTCACTTATCATGTTTATCGTTGAGGGATTCCGGTATAGTCTTCCAGGAAATCAAGGTACTTGAAATTCACAGTCCAATGGAAAGTATGGTAGATCAGTACTGTTGAACCTTGCATTTATCGACTGTTTTGTTATCGGATTTATCGACTGTTTTGTTATCGGATTTATCAACTGTTTTGTTATCGGATTTATCGACTGTTTTTGTTATCGGATTTATCGACTGTTTTGTTATCGGACAGTTTGGCCTGCCCATTTCACTTCTGAATAGCCCAGAGCCTGTAATGTCATGACGGAACGTGTATTGATGTATTTATTAGAGAACACAACAATAGATGTATAGAGATGTAGAAGAAAAACATGCCGAATATGCAGTAATGTTTGGAATAACTGTCATAAATCATTTGTAATTCTGTATATTAACATCGAAATGCTTCATACTTGTGTAAAATATTACTGAGGTTTATGGCATCTAACCTCTCGCAAGCAGAGACAACGTTCGATAGGATGCCGTCAAACCGAACTAGTCGAGTTTATGCTGCGTTATTATTGCGTGTTTTACATTTTATTACGTGTAGCCTCGGTGCGCCAGAGCGGAGACGTGTTCAAATCTGTTTTATAGTCCGACCATTCAAAGAGACATGCATAAAGCATCTGTATACAAGGCGATTTATGCGGATTTCAAAAGGGAGCAAGAGGAGCACAGCCTCACCTAGATCTCGTGAAGTGCGGCGCCATTTTGAAAAAAAAACTATTTATTTATATCTAAACACAGTGTAAAAGCGGGTGTTTGATATGGGACTTCACATACTTAGGAATGGAGGAGACTCACAAGGTTTTACATCGCCTTTGGAGCAATACACAGTATTCTGGTGATTCGTTTTGTGATTTTGTTTAAAAGACAAACGCTCATATGTGTATACATATATCTGTTAAGTTTCACCCCAAATATCCTAGATCGAGCTTACCCTATCAATGTTGATACTATTTTATTTGAATTATTTTCCAACATTTGCCCCCGCGAAACGTGTTTCTGGAGGATATTAAATGGCTTTCGTCCCTGCTCACGTTCATTAGCTCCTAAACAGTTTCACGTGTCGGTACGAAACTTTGTGCATATTAGTCTAAGTGGTTGATGGTTATAAGGATTTTTATTTTCGATATTTTCCTGTATTTTTTTTATTCAATTTTTTATAAAATTCATACTTTCGTAGTTTTTGCAGACGGCAACTTATAAACACTTTAACATATCGATATGAAACTTGAAATATACATCAGACTAGTGGTCTCGTTGTTCCTTTTGGTATTTAGGATTTTCCTCCAGTACTTGAAAGACAGGAATTGGTCCGTGAAAAGATAAACCTGTCTTTGGTAAAGACAGCCTACACACGCTATGACGTCATGACGCACTTTTTCATACTTGACCTGAAATTGAAATTGTGTTTTGACTGTTACATTTTCATTAATTTTGTAGGTATTATAAGATGTATTAACTGATTTATTACAGTTGTTGCATTATTAATTAAGAATATTGTTAACGTGATGCTTTAAATATATTTCTAATTTTATGTTCAGGGTTCATCATGTTATAGAATTAACATATTTGTATTCATGCGCGTCATGAAATAGACACTGGCATGTTTATCAAAAGAATCAAATATGGGTATGGTCCGGGGACAGGGAAATATCAAAGCCTCGTTCTAGACAGCCAATCTCTTCCCCTCGGGTTGAGATTTCCCTGTCCAAGAACCACACCCATGTAAAATTATATTAGTCCAGTACTAGAAGGGGTGTACGAAATTTCTATCTTACACCCAATTTCACGTGACGTGACGTCACAATGACTCAACAATGACGTGACGTCACGAATTTGGAAAACTCCCATGCTGCACTGCGGAAAAGGCGACGCAGTGAAAGTAACACCTTTTACGATATAGCTACCGTACACGTTAGAAAGATGAGATGGATGTTTCTGCGCAAACTTTGTGTTTTCAAAAATGGGGTATGCTAGATTTCGATGACAGATTCGTTTTCTGCGAATAAGCTCAGAGGGAAATTGATATTTTCGAAATGGTAGCCAGTCCAAACGCATTTTCTTGGTTTCCGAGCTTATTCTGGTAGTTTGAATGAGAGAAAATACTCTTTCATGTCCAAGGGTGTAGGATAGGGAAAATCAACCCTCGGGATTCCCCTATCCTATACCTTTGGACACGAAACTGTCTTATGATATTACTGTCGTATTGGTTTACTTTAACAGCATGCAGATTAGTATCATCATTTATTTATTGTATATGTCTGCAGGCTGGGACGTGGAGAATGGGAACCCCGAAGGACTCCAACCCGAATTCCTTATCTCACTCACAGCGCCCAAACTGTGCGCCAAGATGTTCATGGGAAAGTATCATTACCTTGGTGGGCGCTTTGTGCCCAAAACTATGGAGAAGGCGTACGGCTTGTGTTTGCCCGCCTACCCGGGGACAGACTGTGTGGTGGAACTCAAAACACAAACTCCACACGAGAAGGAGACAAAATCGGACGAAAAGGAAAAAGATAAAGAGAACCATGTCTGAGACATTAACGTCATCGATGACGTCACAATGACGTTATCTGTGTGTGGATTACGAACTGTGTATAAACAATAATAATCTTCTTTAGCGTCCGTTTAACTAGCGTGTATGTACGACTAGTGTTTACCGGCGTGTCTTTGTTGGCTTTACGTCTATGTCCTGGCCTCGTTTTAGTTATTACGTAACAATGACGTCACCATACCAGATACTTGTATGGTTAATTTCGGTGATAGAGATACTTATAAGTTGTTTTCCTCTTTGTAGTTAACAGAAAATGTAGAAATATAGAGCGGAAGAATATTGGTTTATACTGGTAATACGCTGATTCTGACGACGTACTCATACTGATTATAATGACGTACGCATACATACACTGATTATAATGACGTATACACACATACACTGATTCCAATGACGCATACATACACTGATTATAATGACGTATACACACATACACTGATTCTAATGACTCATACATACACTGATTTTAATGACGTACACAAACATACACTTATTCTTATGACGCATACATACACTGAATATAATGACGTTCACACACTTACATTGATTCTAATGACGTACACACACATACGCTGATGACGCATACATATGCTGTTTCCAACGACGTATACATACACTGATGCCAATGACGTGACGCACTGATTCTAATGACCCACTCACATGCTGATTCTAATTATGTAATCTAATAGTGACTGTAATGAACCTTGCACGTGTCGGGATTTATAGATTACACCAAGTGTTTTCTGGATTTGTCGTCTGGATAGTTTTACTCATTAAGATGACGTGAATAATATTGAATTGGCTTGCAGGTGGAGTCGAGATTTTATCTACAAAAGAGCGGTGAGAAAAATGGTATGAACGTCACAACATGAACACAATATGATCTAGAAACTAGTCCTTTATATTGCTGATCAATTACTAAATGTCGATAAAATCACGCACGGCATCTTCCATCTAAAGTATGAACTTTACTCACAGAAATAGATTGTATTTATCGATATGAATTGGTGATTACTTTACACACTTTTTCTCATGATTCTAAATCGGTTTATTTACGATAGACTTTCCCCTCTAAGCAGCAATTATAAACGGATTGTTGTGATTCGCTCAATAACTCGACGTCACTAAACAAGTAGATATTGAGATAAAAATATACTGAGGAACCAATTCCCAAGTTATTCCTCGAATCTTCTCTAATATTACCAAACTGATCATCCATACAAATGAATTGGTCATACTACTGGTAGGTGGCAAATATAGTTAAAGGAAGTATATAGATGTTAATATTGGTTATGATATCAAAATATGAAAACACAAAATATCTGTATTTTTCTTGAAATTCTAAAAAGAAAATTGATGTATGTATTTTTAAAAAAACGACAAAACACATTTTTTTTAATATGCGAACATTTTCCGTTCACGACCTGCTAATCTCAGCTTTAATTTAACTCTGGATCTGCGAAACGGGTTGCATTGTTAATGGTTCACTATTCTCACCTATATAGGAAACGATTCTCTGACGTCACTGTGCTGCTACACACTGCTTTAACACGGTCACTTAGGGACACAAACATGTCCTGTTTTAACCATCATTTCGATCAATTAATCACTTTTTCCAAGGATTGTTATTTTTTTTCATTTATTGTTAACGAGTTCATAGATAACTGAAATGATTTGCACCTCATTAATTGTTTTGTTTGGATTAGTTAAAGAGTCCATAGTCTACAGATATTTCCTGGTCTACTGATGGAGGTTATGTAGGTAACCCTTCTATATAAATGCCAGCTATTTCTATTAGGGAGCCTCCGTTAAAATTACATAATTTCATGGATTACTTTGCGTATGAATATAAGTGCCAGGATGTGAAAATATTAGACCCCGGCTGCTCAGAAGAAGGTTAAAGGTAGCCAGTGGTTAGGGGGGGGGGGGGGGGGGCCCNACAAAATCAAGAACGCCTGATATCATTTCACTGGTGTATATGTGTTGGGGAAAATAAGATTGATGTGTTTTACAGAATGTTTTGCTTGGAAAGTCTTTGTATCTTATTGGTGATATTTATTTTAACTAACCACTGGTTGAAGTTTACTAACCTTTGATTAATCTCTAACCATGCACTGATTAAAGTAAACTTACCTTTGATGTTTTGTTCTCTAAGTTATGGTTAAGGTTAACTAGTAATTTATTAATCTCTAACCACTGGTTTAAGTTTACTTATCTTTTATTGTTCTCTTATTAGTGATTTAAATTAAGTAACTTTCGATTGTTTTTCTCTAACCAGTGGTAAAAGTTTGCTTACCTTTGATGAATCTCTCACCACTGGTTAAAGTAAACTAACCTATGATTTTTTGCTCTAATTAATCCTTAAGGTTGACTGATAGTTGCTTAATCTTTAACCACTGGTTTAAGTTAGCTAACCTTTGAGGTTTTCTCTTACCAATGGTTAAAGTTAACTAACATGTGATTGTATCACCAACCAGTGGTCAAAATAAACTTACCGTTGATTAATCTCATAGATGTACCACTGGTTAACATTAACTAACCTTTGAGCCCAGATCGTCAAGATCACGTGGCTATTACTTTGTTCTGTATGTAAATCATGTATCATTTGTATGTATATCATGGACAATTCGTATACTAAGTATGCCGCTTTCACCGGTTGACACAGGAAATAATATTACTCTGAATAAAACTATATATGAATTATCCTGGTCGTGTTTATTTCACGTTTAACACAAAATTCAACTGCAACCATCACCATCAGGCTCCACGTTCAAGAACGTTCCTCAGCTTATGAAAATTCCGTAAAAAAAAGTTCTTTGCCAATATAAAAACATCATTGATGTAACAGAAGCGTAAGAACGAAATCCTTAAAAAAATCCTCGGTTCTTATAATTCTTTAATTTGAAAAAAAAAATGAGGAATTCCTTTAAATAAAGGAATTTTCATGAAATTGGCCAATATTAGGTAGACTTTTTTAGTAAAAAAACTCATGTGCTTTTCGCGTTCAATACTAAGACTCCAGATCAGAAATGCAACGCCTGAGAGAATTACAGCTTCACATCAGACTAACTTCAAGCGGAGAGTTACAGATTCAGATCAGACCTGCAACGCACGAGAGAACCACAGCTTTGGATCAGACCTGCTTCAACCAGAGACCCACTGCTTGTGATCAGACCTGCAACACCTCTGAGAATCGCAGCTTGTGATCAGACCTACAACACCTGAGATAATTGCAGCTTTGAATAAGACATGCTTTAACCGGAGAGTATCAGCTTCAGGTCAGACTAACTTCAAGCGAAAATTTATATAACAGACCTGATTCAACCAGACTCTCAAAGATTCAGATCAGACCTGATTCAACCAGACTCTCAAAGACTTAGATCAGACCTGATTCAACCAGACTCTCAAAGACTTAGATCAGACCTGATTCAACCAGACTCTCAAAGACTCAGATCAGCCCTGATTTAACCAGACTATCAAAGATTCAGATCAGACCTGATTCAACCAGACTATCAAAGACTTAGATCAGACCTGATTCAACCAGACTCTCAAAGACTCAGATCAGACCTGATTCAACCAGACTCTCAAAGACTCAGATCAGACCTGATTCAACCAAACTCTCAAAGACTCAGATCAGACCTGATTCAACCAGACTCTCAAAGAATCAGATCAGACCTGATTCAACTAGACTCTCAAAGACTCAGATAAGACCTGATTCAACCAGACTATCAAAGATTCAGATCGGACCTGATTCAACCAGACTATCAAAGATTCATATCAGACCCGCTACACAGGATACTCACATTTTCACATCAAATTGCATTTTATAGTGTTGTAGTATATATATACGGATATTGGTAGTTTCATATGAGGCAGGTTCAGAAAGAGTGTATAGCTCTCCAGGGTTATGAACGTTTGTTTCCATAAAAGAACATTGGTAGTCTGCTGAAAGTATTCATCTGACCATTGTTTTCTTTTTCCTTTTTTTCGTATTCTCTGAATCCAGATGATTTGTAAGTCATATCTATGTCAGGAAGATATGATGGGGATATGTGGGTCGAGTCAACCCGAGGAAGTCAGGGCCACGGACGGCTCGTCGGCACTGGTCGAAGACTAGCTCCAATCTTGTCATTGTTTACGTTGGACCAGAAGAACGTGATGGGCAATGTTTGTCAAGACTTGAGAGTTGTCATCCTGACAACGGACGGTACATCTGTACAGACCTAGGACTGGTCATGCTATGTTGTTTAAATTCAGCCAGTAGAGCTTAGTTAATGGTTCACTATATTTATCTCCATTTTCTGAAGAAAATGCACAACAGATTACAATTTAAACTGTTAGTTTATGAATATGCTCACATCTTCGTAACTTATATTTCATTCATTTGTCAGCTGCAAAACACAGGTTCATATATGACTATTATATACAGACAAGACACAGATACATCAACGAAAACATAAAAAGCACGAATAGTTCCATATATACATGATGAAGTGATGACTATAGGGGGCCGGGGTTGCTATGGACGGCCGCCGTCTTGGATCCGCCATCTTGTTTGTTGCTAAGGCAAACAAGATGGCGGCCGTCCTTAGCAACCCCCTGAACCTACGCCCCTCATAGTCATCATCATGTGTGTTTTTGTTGTGACGTCATCAATTTTGAGTTACTCACCGGATTATTGACCCTGTTTTGATTTTGATTTAAACATATTTTATTGATATAATCAAATGGATTGGGCACAAGTTATAACAACTTATAGAAGCCCTCTCCTCAACTATAATATTACATTGATAGTGATAGCGACATATGCCAATCAAAGTAATTGTATAAAAACAAGGAAAATAGACAACAACAAAAAAGAGTTTTGAAAGACAGAAGAGATCATAGAGATGAGTAGAGTATGTTTCGAATGACACAAAAGGTTCATTCAAAGTATGAATATTTTTAAACTACTTAAACTTAAACTACTGCATGGCACGCACTAGCTACACATTCTTTTCACATCAGTTATTCGTTTGTCCATATAAAACACATTCCTTAGAATCTTTCCTCGAGTCATTCCTGTTCCTTCTAGGTAACATATCAAAGTGCCATGCAGCGGAATTATTTCAGTTTGAAAAGAAAATATATATATATACAATTTGCTGAACCAGTAACACTATCAATTATTCTATAGACCTACAGAGCAGAATGAGAGGTTTAGGAGAGAAGAGATTATGACAGATTAGATACATATACCTGTTCACACGAAGTTTTGTTTAGAAACGGTCACTTGAATAAATAAAAGTCTGAACAATTTCAAAAATACGCTCATTGTCAACATTTGATAATTCAACATTTCCAGACAATAGTAACTCTAGGTGCACAGGATGATATGGTATCAACTTATTTAACATTTCATGTCTGATGGTCCTGTTCATTGGACATTGGAAAAAATAATGGTATGAGTTTTCACAGGGGTGGCCACAGGCACAAAAAGGAGATTCTACAAGGTTCACACGAAAGAGATCATAATTCAGTTGGCTACAATCGTGTCTAAGTTTAGTAAATAAGATATTAAGGCGACGGGGTCCGTGATTAAAGAAACACGGTGGCTTATGATGTTCCGGAGTTATAGCAGTTTTGAATTTACTAACTGTAGTTTGATTTCTAGTGGTTTCTGATAAGTTATTCCTCTTTTTTTGTAGTTGCTGGTATATATGATGATCTAGTATTGGAAAGAATATAGTTATGCATGGTATAGTTATTGTTATTTCTAAGGGAATATGGAGTTCTATCATATACTAAACCTGGAAGTAATGTATAAAGATATGACGGTGTTAGTTTATTGTGCATTTTGTAAAATTAAGTTAGTTTTCTTCGTTCTCTTCTGATATTCAAAGTGTCCCACCCCGTTTCAAAATATAAAGATTGAGAACTTGCACATACTGGCAACCCAGTTACTACTCTAGCAGCTTCCAGTTGAAGGTTTTCTAACAAATCAATATGGAATTTAGATAAACCACTCCAGAGTTCACAAGCATATTCCATTATAGGTAGAAGCACTTTTATAAAAAATTTCAACATGGTCACCCCATTTAGCATTTGCACTAATATTTACCCCTAAATGCTTATGGTTTTCAGAAAAATTTAAAATGCTGTCGCCAAACAATAGCTCCAGATCTTGATTTTTTTTTTTTAAATTGAGATAAATAGAACATCTGTTTTATTAGAATTAAATGTAACTAACCATTGCTTGGACCACGCATTTTTATACATTGAAGATCATGATTCATTACTCGTTCAATTTCGTACTCTCCCCTTGTGGTATTTTAGGTGTGCACTCCAGACGACCAGGACTTGTTACGAGAGGAAAAAAGAACAGAAAAAAAGAAGAAAATTGCATTTCAGTGTTCACTTCCTCAATAAAAAGTAAACACGGTCTTGGTGTGCTGATCGTAATATCTGCTTCTCTATTCTGCCTGACTCACGATTGTAAAGACAAAGAGTTATGGATTGTTTTACTAGCGTCGTGCCTGGGGTTTGTAATACCGGCACCGAAGCTGAAGACAATGAACAACATGAAACTACGCAATGCAGAGAACATATAACTTACAGCTGGACAATATACTTACAATTTACAGGCGAAACATTAGTAAAACATTCGTCTTGAGAGCGACGTTTCCTTAGTAGAAATTTATGCGTAACTGACTGAGAACGTGTACTAAAAAGGGGGTTTGATTTACCGGAATGTGCATCCGTAAAAGTGTATCTCGTAGCATATGAAAATCTAGACCTAAATTGCTAGTTATTCTATAAACAATAAGAATTCAACCAATCAGATTTAAGGAAGTAAAAGTGTCAACCAATCAGAATTCAACCAATCAGATTTAAGGAAGTAAAAGTGTCAACCAATCAGAATTCAACCAATCAGATTTAAGAAGGGAAAAGTGTCAACC